AGGCAGGCCACAGTTTGTCCGTCTGGGCAGTGTCCTGTCTGATGTGGTGGTCAGTGATACAGAGGCTCCACAGGGAACTGTGCTCTCTCCCTTCCTCTTCATCGTATACACCACTGACTTTCAGTACAATTCTGAGTCATGTCACCTGCAGAAGTTTTCTGATGACTCAGCTGTTGTAGGGTGTATAAGAGAGGGAGAGGAGGGGGAGTACAGGACACTGGTGGACAACTTTGTGGAGTGGTCCGAACAGAACCACCTGAGGCTGAATGTCAACAAGACCAGAGAGATGGTGATTGACTTCAGGAGAGAGAAGAGGTCTTCACAGCCACTACGGATTAGGGGGGAGGTGGTGGAGGAGGTGGAGGACTACAGATACTTGGGAGTGATAATTGACAATAGACTGGACTGGAGGTCTAACTCTGAGGCTGTGTACAAGAAGGGGATGAGCAGACTGTATTTCTTGAGGAAGCTGAGATCCTTCAATGTGTGCAGCAAGATGTTGGAGATCTTTTACCAGTCTGTTGTTGCCAGCACCATTTCTTTGCTGCTGTGTGTTGGGGCAGCAGCATTAGAGCCAGCTACACCAACAGACTAGATAAAATCATCAGGAGGGCTGGTTCTGTACTTGGACTCAGGCTGGAGTCTTTTGGGACTGTGGTGGAGAGGAGAACGCTGAATAAACTCTTATCCATCATTGACAATGATCAGCACCCTCTCCACCACACAGTGGTCAGACAGCGAAGCACCTTTTCTGCTGCTCCAGCTCCGCTGTCGAAGGGACAGATACAGGAAATCTTTCCTACCATATGCCATCACATTGTACAATAAAAAATAAACTCTTGTTTCAGCATACAGTAACCAGCACTGTACTGTACTGCACTCCATATTTTAATACTTATTTATAATCTGTTCACTGCACCTCAGGACTGTTCACTGCACCCTTATAATGTAAATACGTGTGGATGTTATGTTATTTTTACTTTTTCTTATCTTATTGTGTTGTGACTGTCACTATGTGTAAAGCTGCTGCTACACTGCAATTTCCCAGCTTGGGATAAATAAAGTACATCTATCTATCTATCTATCTATCTATCTATCTATCTATCTATCTATCTATCTATCTATCTATCTATCTATCTATCTATCTATCTATCTATCTATCTATCTATCTATCTATCTATCTATCTATCTATCTATCTATCTATCTATCTATCTATCTATCTATCTATCTATCTATCTATCTATCTATCTATCTATCTATCTATCTATCTATCTATCTATCTATCTATCTATCTAAATGGAAACACTGGAGAAGAATGAGCATTGCTAAAAGTCTATAGGGAGACCTCTTAAGTTAAGAGATAAAAAAAAAAAAACAACTAAAAATTACGTCATGAGGAGAAGTGGGGTTCTTATGGCAGCTGAAAGCATCAAAAAAGAGAAGAAATTTACTCTCTGCATTTGACCCATCCCCTTGTGGAGCAGTGGGCTGCCATTGTGTACTCGGTTTTGCTCAGGAACCCAGAGTGGAGACTGTGAGGATCTAACTTGCAACCTTCTGAGAGCACAAGTGCACTAATCTAACCACTAGGCCAACACTCCCCGTTATGTTCACTGGGATGATGTTTTTGCAAAAGGTGCATCTTATCATGAAATGGACTGTTTACATCTACAATGGTATGAAAGAAAGAATAAAATAAATAAAATCTAATTTATGTAAATGATCTCACTTTTGATATATTTAATCTTAGTTTTGAGGTTTTTCAAGGCTTTTATGTCTAATTCTTACATGTCAATGATGTCTACAACTTAGAAAAAAAAAAGTCTGCACAGCATATGTTAGAAAATATTCCATGAATGCAAACCAGAAAGGAGCCATGTGGCTCTTCTGGTTGCTTTCTTCAAACCGAGATAAAGCATGCTTTAAATCTGGAAAGAGAATCTCGGCCTCTTTAGCTTCAGCTGACTGATACCTCTGAATGTCAACATTGTGTATCAGCTGTTGGAAAACAGCATATCTTAATGCAAATTCATTCCAGCACCAGCTGCTGTGTCAAGATGAAAATACCCTTGAAACTTCTAATGAGCTCCCTGCTGTGAATAAAGAAGGCAAGGAGGTCACAGAAGTTACAATAAGAGGAGGGTGTGCTTTTCTGGGTTATCTTCAAGTGTTATGTGTTCCTGCATTCATGTGCAAGCAAGTGCCTTGACTGGAGGCAAAGGACTGGATAACGAGTCGTTATCATGTCATTGTGTGGTGAAACTAAAGCTGCAGTATCCACACTCACACTCGCAGGTCTAAAATGTCTGACCTCATATTTTCCAAACCCATAAACCCCATTAATGCAGCTCCAGCCCTGTCACAAACAGCAGCGTTTCTGTAAAATGTGGCACCCAAACACCCAATAATGTACAGAACCCCTAAAGCAAGCAGTAAAGGTCACTGGTTTGTTGTTTTTCTCCTTGTAAAGAGGATTCCTTAACACAGATATCCCCTTTTACAGTTAAACCGGACTCACCACTATCAGGTCCAGGTGACGGCCCCCAGGCAGCACTTTCATCTTCCCTCATCTGGTTTCACCACCGTTCACACCTTGATTCATGTGTTTCCAACATCTCTCAGGACAACCAGCTGGATAAACGACCCACATATTACTACCACACACCAGATGGGTACAAACTGTTCTTTAGCTTGACTGATTCATTCCTCACTGTAGTTACAATTAGTAATTTTATCTCTATATGATGTAGTTACACATGCAGGTAGAATAGAAAATCTGTTTATTGTCCCACAAAGGGTAAATTCTGGTATTGGCTGATAATAGTAAAAGGGAAAACGCAGTCCTGGCCCTTTGGACCCTCAACAATGGCTCTTAATAATGACTAAATTGATATAAAGAACTAACTAATGTGGTTTAATAACAAACCGCATTCTTAGAAGCTTTAGTGGTTTTGAAAATATGAATTTGAACCAAATTTTTACAACTAAACTACATTAAAAGAACCAGAAATATGTCTTTAGAGCTATTTTTAATTAGCTTGGAAATTAATACATCCTTCGTTTTGCATTAAAGAATAAAAAAATCCATTATTCGTTTTATATGATTTATGTTTTTCCTTATTTTTAAAAGCTAAAAATACAGATCAACTCTTGGTTGTTTAAGATGGTACCAGATTTTCCATGGCAAATATTTAACAAAAAATAACAGGTTGTTTTATTGTAAAGTAAATGTAATATTTTGCTAGCCTCGTGAGACCATCCTGATCTCGCGAGCTTTCAAGATTTCACTCGCTAATCAGTCTGGAGACTCTCCGTTGAAGAAAATTTGGAGCCGTTCACCAAACGAACGTCCAATCAGCGTTGGCTTTGAGGCGGGTTGAGGTGTGACGCAACGAGAAGCGCGACAGTTCCGTTTAAAGAACATGGCGGCTTCAGCCGATGAAACTAGCGTTAGCGTGGCTATCGAGCAAGTTTTATCGGAATTACAGAGTATTTCTTCACTGAAAGAACAGCAAAACACTGCTCTGGAGGCTTTTCTCAGAGGAAAAGATGTTTTTGCTCTTCTCCCGACTGGTTTCGGCAAGAGTAGCCTGGCTGTTAGTACGTCATATGCTTCGTTGATTTGATTGGTTTATTTGGCCTGTCTATCACCAACATAGGCCAATCAGCTAACCAGTATTTTCGCCCCTTACCAAAATTACTTCAACGGAAGGTTTCCAGATGGATATGCGGAGCAAATCCATCTGGCGGAGTCAGGTTAATATTTTGCAGTTCCAGATTACTTTACAGACTCAAAGCAAAATGACTTTTTGATGCCAACTGATGCAGAACCTCTGCTTTAAAAGCTGCACTTTCTGCTGAGAGCAAAAAGGGATCCAGGCAGCATCATCCTGTGGGGATGTAGAAGTGAGAAGTCATAAAGATGGATGGTTTAAAACAAAAAGTTAACAAAATACTTATGGGACAGATCTTATATTAAGCAGGACAGAGATATGATGAACTGCTTTAAATCAAAACTCTTTCTTCTCGTAGAACAGCTCATTTAAAGTTTAGAACCTGGAGAATTTGTGACCCTGCTTGAAAATAGATGTTGACAAATTGATTATCTTCATGTCTTACCAAATTAGAGCTATTTAGCAGATAAGTTACTGCAGTCAAAAACTTAATTACATGAAATATGCACATCATAATGCTCCTATTTTTGGTTTGCTTCTCACTTATAACTTCTATTGAATCTATTTACATTTTTGGTTTAAAGGGATAATATGTTCGGGGGTGTAAAAATACCTTAGTAAGGCACCTCGTTCAGCTGCAGGGAAAAGATCCCTAGTTTGTTTATTTTGTTAATTATATCCAACACAGGCTTGCTTAGCAGCTTAGCTGATATAAGTTTCTGTCAGCTTGAACCCCATAGTTAAGACCAGAAAAGAAAAGAAAAACTTAGAAACCCCAAAGAAATTTCAGCTGCTTTTAATTTACTTGCTCAGGATAACCTGAATCCTTTAAATGCAAAAACAGCCCTGGGTGGAATACGTTTACATTATCACAAAAGAATAAACAGCAACAGCTTCGGACATCTTAATAGTCGCAGTTTCACCATCAGCAGTTGGCAGACAACAGAAGGTGGGAATCCAACTAAACGGATTGTTTCGTCTCCGATGGGGGAAGGGAAGGACCTCCCTGATGGCCTCGTTTACCTCCCCATGAATAGTAAATACAGCCAGAACTCAGGACTTTAAAGTCCAAATGGGTGCTGTGCAAACATTTCATGAATGTGATGGAAGAACAGCATGCAATTCTTGTTATCTGCAGTTTCATAGTGACTCTCCTTCAGATCAAGTTAACCCCAGAGGGAAATATCTGTTTCATTAGTTTCTGTGTGCTCTGATGCACAGACGGTAACCCGACTCACAGCCTCCAAAACAGAAGAAAGAGTGCAACTTTTTGCCTTTAAATAAATAACTTACGTGATTTTATGCTTAAAGTGCAATGATGCCAATTTTCCATACAGGGTTAAGGATTTATTCAGCCTCTAAATTTACAAAAATGTACAATTTGTATAAACATTGGAATGATAACAACTGAAACTTCACATCTGCATGTGCTGATGACAGGAATGTGCTTTCTATTAGTGAATAATTAATACTCTGAAACCACAGAACATTGCTTCACGTCGCATTATTAGGAGAACTCTGGCCTCTGTCCACAAAGAAGCATCCAATAAATATTTTAGAAAGAATTAAAAACAGCCTCTCTGTGAAACGGGAGGGTTTTTCTTCTCTAGAATCTTTTCATATAAATGTTTTTAGTCCTTCTTAGAAATCCTCTTTAAGTATGGCCTAAACAAGCACTTAGTGATAACTGACTGTTGTCGATATCAAATGGTTCAGCTTTCCACGGCACCAACGCCAAGAAAGTCAATACTGCTTCGGTTTTATGAGCAAGTCCATTTCTGCTGACCCCTGAAGGCAGTTTATAATTGCTGTTTTTCTGTTGGCACAAATTGCTCTCCTTCAGGAAAAAAAAAAACGGCTCATTGAGCCTAGAAGTGTCCCAACGCTGAGAGGATCTCCTCGAGGTTATGCCCACAATCCCGGAGCTCAGAGTTCATCTCTTTCTGTTTCGACTGTGCTTCACCGTCTTCTTCCGCTTCAGGATCATCTCGTAGAGTTTCTCCAGGCCCGCCTGCAGCCCCTGTCCGTCCACGGCGCTGCAGCCCTGCACGTGGTACAGCGTGTAGATGCCGAGCTCATGCACGGACAGCAGTTTTTCCACCTCGCCGACGGACAAGGCCGAGTCCAGGTCCTGTTTGTTAGCCAGGATCAGCACCGGCACCCCTTGGTTCTCTGAGGTGCGGGTGATCTTATGGAGCTCCACTTTAGCCTCCTCCAAACGCTCCAACTCAGTGGAGTCCACAACAAACACTATCCCATCCGTTCGGCGGGTGTAGGACTTCCAGAGGGGCCGCAGCTTCTCCTGACCGCCCACGTCCCACACTTGGAAGTTCGTGGCCCGGGCCCCCCCCACTGCCACCTTCACTTTCTCCGTGTTGAAACCTTTAGTAGGGATTGTTTTCACAAACTCCTTCAGTTTGAGCCTGTAGAGCAGGGAGGTTTTCCCAGCTGAGTCCAAGCCGATCACCACAACATGCAGACACTGGAAGCTGGGCAGGAAGGACGAGGTGGGGGCGATGTCGGTCAGCTGGTTCCCCATGATTCGGACCAAGAATTCACACCCGCTGAGGAGAGGTGGCAGATTCCTTGAAACTTGCAGATCCAAACAGGCTGACAGGACTGGACGATGACTGGAGACCTTATCAAAACACAGAGCAAAAGCTTGGGTTAACATTCAATGAAAAGATAAGTTCAGCCTGTCTGCAATGTGAACTATTTCAGTGTCAAGCATCGATGATAAGAGTGGAAGAGTTTGAATTCCACCATCTGATGCAACGTGATGGAAAACAACCGTCTGTGTCGCAACCTGTCGAGTTTACATCAACAAACCTGGTTGAGACGACACCGACCGACGCGCAGAAAATAAATAATGGAAAAATGATGACAACACATCACCCTGGTGAACATAGTGGTGGCAGCATCATGCTGTGGGGATGTTTTTCTTCAGTTAAAGTAAATGTATCAAGATGCTGCAAACTTTTGGTAATGGGGTAAAGATTTAACACCCTCCCCCCATCTACCAACAAGACAATGACCCTTAAAATGCAAAGGAATGGTTCAAATCACAGCTTATTAGTTAACTCAGTTGACCTAGTTAAAGTCCCAGCTTGGATCTAATCAAGATTCTGTCGTTAGACCTTAAAAATGTTTACCGATAGATTCTATTCACTCCATCAAGCTGATTTTGAGCAGTTCAGAAACAAAAAAAAGAGGTCGATTTTTACAAAAACACAAAGCAGATAAAAGGAGTAAAGTTGGATTTTACCGTGAAAGATGATGCACATTAATACAAATCCTTTAAGTTTTGCAAAAAAATTGATATACCGTATTTTCACGACCATAAGGCGCACCGTACTAAAAGGCGCAGTCTCAGTTATGTGTCCCATTTCTGTATTTAACACACACATAAGGCGCACCGGACTATAGGGCGCATTTTTTATATACAGGTACATGTCCTCTACTACCTTTAAATAGCTCTACTGCGTATTTTAAAAATACAGCGGGGGCAAAACTGAGTATGATTGTGCTTTATTCATGTATTTATTACAAAGTATTAATCAAACCTGCGAGCTGGCCGTGAGACAGACATATCGCAGATGACACAGCGCTGTGATCACTCCTAAATTAACTTAAAATCCTGAAACCTGCCGACGGAATATGTTCGCTTTTATTGCCGGTATCCTGGTGCCTGCAGTTTAAATTATTTAGATGAAAAGCACCTGCCAGCCACCGCGGTGAGGCTGCTGTTGAAGGGATTTCTGCTGTCGGTGATCCGCTGGTATGTGGGGGTCTGAGCGCCTCCGACAGAAATAGATAATCTGGATGAACTGACTGCAATTAAGTTTTCAGGTGGCCTTTCTCACTTAAAAACATATTAAAACTACTTTATTCCCCCTGATCACAGCAAATATAGCTGCAAGATTTAGATTATTTAGATGAAAAAACACCTGCCAGCCACCGTGGTGAAGAGGAGGAGACCCGCCCAGAGGCTGCTGTTGAATTAAGTTTTCAGGTAGAAAAATAGAGCGGGAGCAAAACTGAGTATGTTTGTGCTTTATTCATGTATTTATTACAAAGTATTAATCAAACCCATCAAAGTCATCATCCTCTGTTTCTGAATAAAACAGCTGCGCTAAATCAGACATGCCAGTTTCCCCTTCTTCGCTGTCAGTCACTTTCCGTGCAGCGCGGCTCCTCAGAAATAATGCCGGCTTTTGCGAAAGCTTGAACAACAGAGCCAGCAGACACGTTAGTCCAAGCATCTGCAATCCATCCGCAAACGGTGGCGTAACTTGCCCGGCGCTGCCTTCCACTTATCCTGAAACTGTGATCTCCGTCTGTCATCCATCGCTCCCACGCCGCTCGCAGCCTTACTTTGAACGGCCGCTTCACACTGATGTCGAGCGGTGGAAGTTCCTTTGTCAGACCCCCGGGATAACGGCGAGCACAGCGTTCATTTGATTCACCTTTTTTTCACATCGGCTGTGAGATGGGCACGCAGCGATGGTGATGCGTGGAAAAAAGCACCTGGTCTCCTCACATACACCTGCCTTTCATCATCTTCTCATCCATCCAGCCCGTTTCATTTGCGTTAATATCATATGTCATCAGAGCGCTGTGTCTGTCTCGCTGTCAGCTCCCAGATCAGCTTCCCTGATTGGTTGATGCGGCGCGTCCAGCAGCAAAACTTCAATTTTTCCATCTCGAGCAGCAGCAGCGTGTTGGCGGTGCGTCAGATGCTTAAACGCTCCCGACGTGCTGCACCTGCAGCTCAAAATGCGCTGCGGGACCTTTTGCTGCGCCTATACGCGCGTCAACCATTGACTTTGCATGTAAACTCGCTGCTTCTGCTGCACCTGCTGGGTCCGGTTCACACCGATGTCCAGAGGTTGAACAGCGAGCACAGCCTTAATTTGTTTCCCCATGTTTTTCACATCAGCTGTGAGATGGGCACGCATGGAGTTACATATTAACAGCGATGGTGATGAGTGGAAAAAAAAACACCTGGTCTCCTTACATTCAGCCACTCTTTCATCATCTCCTCAATGAGGTGGTCTCAAAAGTCACAGTTACAACACACATAAGGCGCACCGCACCATAGGGCGCACCGCACATTTTGAGGGAAAAAAGACGTTTAAGTGCGCCTTATAGTCGTGAAAATACGGTAATTGCTTTTAAGACACTAGTCAGTCTAAACTGATTTCCTCCACATTTAGACTATAATAAATAATCTTGTATATTCAGTCCTACATTAAGGAGCCAAACAACAGTTAATTGGACGTTTGTGCTTGTGTTAGTCTTATTTGCTCTGCCTAATCCTCTTAAGACGGTTAAGCAGAAAGTCTTTTCCTTCAGGCTGATTGATTTCAATCCAGAGGAAGCAATATGTATCCAGGGCTTCCCTCAGCACTGCTGCAGCAGCAGCTGCTCTAATCCGGTTGTTGTTGACATCCTGATGCCCATCATCACACAGCTGCTTCTGCACTCTGGCCTATTCTGCATTCATCCTATAAGGTGGTGAAGCAGCGGACGCTGAGCTGCAGAGAAAATGCACAGTCATGTTTCAGATCTGAGGGTTTTGACCTCTGACTAAATCTAACTGTGCAGGAAGAGAGCAGAGCTCATCCTCTCATGCAGACGGCGGCACCTTTCATCTTTTTGTTCTAACAATATATCAAGTGGAAAACTTCCCCCAATTCCCTGGAAACCTCTCAGCTCTAGAAACTCAAACATGACTTCCAGTTTTAAAATGCAAAAATAATTCATCCATACCTGGTTAAATGATTGGAGGAATAATCATCCGCAGGAGAAAAATAAAACCATGTTTGAAAGGAAATGTTTCTGTTCTCTCTCTGTTGCTCCTGCTCCTGCTCCACCGGCCGGTCGGATCTCCTCCTGCTGCTCCTCTGACTGAGGAGGAATCCTGGAGGCTCAGCCAGCACCACCTTCAGCCCGGCTGACGTCACGGTCAGCTGAGGGTTACTCTGGCGCCTCCTGCTGGAGGAGTTATGAACTGCAGGGCATACAGAGGCGCTCTCTCACCCGAGCGTCTAAAACATTAAACACATAAAAGACATAAAGAAAAAACTTATTTTGACAATTGATGTTGAAATTGACCTGAGATTTATTCACAAAACATTATCCATCAACATCAGAATAAACAATGTTGTTATAACTCCACAGAGAGAAAAACTGTTTTATTATTCATAATTTAAAGTGGAAAAAATAACAGAAATTCAGCTTTTACTCTGGTTTTAACCATCAAAAATAAACATAGTTTCAACATTTTCCCCTGTACAATTATTTATGTTATTACTTCTACTAAAATGAATTGAAGTTTTTGCTTCACTGATCAGAGAATTAAATCATTTACGCTTGGGAATTGCAAAATACTTGCACTGTAAATGATCCATCCTATTCCCTTCACAAAGAAAGAAAGAAAGTAAGTAAGTAAGTAAGTAAGTAAACTTTATTTGTATAGCACTTTTCACAGACAAAGTCACAAAGTGCTTCACATGATAACATAAAAACAACACAAGTAAAAACAGATAAAATGCAATAAAAGCTATAATAAATAAGGGAATAAAACAACAGGCTATGTGCTTTGGAAGGCTAGTGAAAACATGTGTGTTTTTAGCTGTTTTTTAAAGATGTCCACCGAGTCCAGAGAGCGCAGGGACAGGGGGAGTTCATTCCAAAGACGGGGTGCCACCGCTTTTAAGAAAGAAAGAAAGAAAGAAAGAAAGAAAGAAAGAAAGAAAGAAAGAAAGAAAGAAAGAAAGAAAGAAAGAAAGAAAGAAAGAAAGAAAGAAAGAAAGAAAGAAAGAAAGAAAGAAAGAAAGAAAGAAAGAAAGAAAGAATAAATTGATATTAGTGATATAGTAGGACTCTTGTATTAGTGAAGTCATCATTTATTTGAATTAGTTACTATCAGATTGTAGGATAATTACAAACATTTCAGCCAAATATTTGAGTGAAAAAGCACATTATTTAATAAAGCTGCAGATATTTTCTAGAAAATAATCAGCAGAATAAAATTAAAAAATCTCTCTAACACGTTTTACAAAACAGTTACAAATGACCAAACATGTTCAATACAGCACATTGCTCTTCAAGTTGGTTTGGAGCTTTCTATTGTGATGCTTTGGCTCCACCTTGTGGCAAAAGTACTAAAAAAAAAACTATGTTTTAGAAATGGGGAAAATTACCAAAAATCTCATATTTTTTTCTGTTGAAAGCTTGAAAGCAAAAGAAGACTCGTGTGCAAACAATTTTCAGGAACATCAGCTTATTATCTCCTCTATGTAATATTTTTTGCTCGATATGAAATCTTATTTTTTCAAATCCTAATTTTGCCAAACTAAGCTATATTTTTCATTTCACCTATTAAGCAACACAATGGTTTCAGTAACATAACATCAGTGCAACAACTTGGAAAGATAAAAAAAAAAGCTTGACCTTTTTTTAAAAAAAAAAGATGAACAAAGACTCATTTCAAACTTCTACACAAATCTTACCATTGAAATCATTTTTATGCATTTTTCTTCTTTTAAAGCTACACTCTTGCTTTAAAGATTTTATTACAGTCAGTTACATAACAGAAAAATGGGATTCAGTGTAACTGGTTGATGAAAAATAGAGATCTGTGATGAAAATGATCAAAACCCTAACATGAACAGGATATCCTGAGCTATTTTCTGCATCTTTGCTTCTATAGGCTTAGACTGCTGGAGGAAATAGTTACCCCTTTTAATCATTTTATCTCTATTCTCCCATTCTGCAGTATTTATTAGTTTAACCTCTAACATTATTCTCTCTGTTTTTTTCTCACAGTAGCTTATATTTGGTTTCTTCCTGTTTGGCTGTGACTCCATCCTGGAGAAAAATATCAGTTATGCTGCTGCCATCAACACCTTTGTTTATAGATCTTGGAGCTTGGCCTGTTTTTCAGTGTAGTCCTGTTTCTCTGACTGTGACTGGCTGAATGTGCTCTCTGTCATCCTCTGATATGGGAGCTGGCTCGGAACTTGTTTGCCCGACTGTGTTTCCTGGACGGGGCCGCCTGTGGAGCTGGTTGACTGTTGCCTTCTGAATCTCTGCTTTTTCTTTGTTCACTTCTGTCTCCTTGAACCCCAGTAGGCCTCGGCAGATGGCCGCTCACACTGAGCCTGGTTCTGCTGGATGTTTCTTCTTGTTTAAAGGGATTTTTCCTCTCCAGTGTTGCCATAAGCATGCGTGGTGTGAGGGATTGCTTCCGAGTCAATGAGTCGAATTAATCAGCTGGTTTTCTTCAGATAGAAAACTTTGAACCAATCTGACTGTACTATCTGGTCGAATTGTAAAGCACCTTTAGATGACGTGTGTTGTGAAATGGTACTATGTATATAGACTGAATTGAATTGAATTAAAATATTATCCTAAGCTTTGAAAAGCTCAAACATCTCTCTTTAATGCATCACTTGAAAAACAGAAAAGGGGGGTGACTTATCATCCTCCAAATCTGACCCATCTCAAAGAGCGGCATGTAGAAAACCTAGATTAAAAAAGCTAAGCAATGTAGCTGAGACAGCAACCATCTGTAAGTACTTCCAAATTCTGGCAAAGTAGGGAGCTGAGCTGACCATAGAAGTGTAAATCTTGGGTTAGGTCTATATTTGAAAATCTTTCTGAAATTTCCCCATTCCCCCTGTGGAACAAGGTGGTGGCAGGGTCATTCTGTGGGGACAATGAATCTCTAGGACAGATAGATATACCGACAGATAGATAGGATGCTGATAAGATAAACCAACAGAGTCTTTGACAAATGTCACAGTTTAATAAAGTGCAAATGAAATTATCACTAACAGAGATCAACTCTGTAATAAAAAACATAGGGTTTAATAACACTGAAAACATGGACAGCTTTAAAAAGCACAAGAGTTAAAGTCATTTGTAATAAAATATTAAGTTACTTATATTGAAAACATTAATGTGCTTCATTTATAAGATGGTAGTGATTGATCAAAAGCCTTTGGAATATCAAAATACTGGCATAATACAATCTCATTATCAAAGAACTCGATCACACCTTAAAATAATAAAAACAGTGTCTCATTGCTGATGTCTATAATGACGGTTCATCATCTCCACAGGATGGGGCATGGTTGAGTTATTCCCACAGTCGATGTACTCGAAAACATCCTGTGAAAGCTGCTCGCTGTGAGACATGTAAGTGATATTCATGGTCATCCTGGGTGGAAAACAGAAGACAAAAAAATAAACATCAACAACTGCATCTTTATTTTAAACAAGACTTTTAATTAAATTAAACTGAGGCAACAGTAAGCATATATAATAAAAAAATGTATGGCACTTGTTTTCTCTGCTTTTTGTTTCTTTGTTGAGGTCTAGATGCAAAAGATCTATATTTGGCCATTCAGCAAAGAAGCTGCTACATGGCTGTACATCTTATTTTGGCATTTGACCAATTAGATGAGGCCTTTAATGATATATTACCTACTGTAAATTAAGTTGGAAAAAAAAGGAAACAAGAAAAAAAAAAGTTAATTTAAAAGTTAATAATAAACCTAGTGAACAATTATACTATAACTAAAAAATATACGTATCAGCATTAATGCCTCTAGGGTTATGTTGTACCAAAAATGTTTTTCTTTCAATCTCAGAGTGTTTTTGATGAATTTCTTATAGAAGCACTTTGTTATTTTTCTTAATATATTCGGGCAAGTCGGCATTTCTTGTTATTACACTGACATTAATTTTTGCCATCAAAATATTCGTATTTTTTAATGTTACAAAGGTGATAAGAACTTGTCCTGGATTCCAATAACATTGTTGGCTTGAAATCACCGAGTGCCCTATAAAGGGTTAATAAAGAAACAAACAAGCTTAGCTCCATGTAAAAAAAAATAAATAAATCATCCCATCCTGAAAACAGACTTGAGTGAAGTTTATGTGTTTGAGTCATTGAGTGGTACTTAGATAATTTTCCTGATGGAAACCCAAAATGAAAATTACCTGTTGGTTGCACATTCTCCTTCAGGACTTCCGGCTTTAATCAATTAATTACAGCAAGCAGGTTGGGTCAAAAAGGAGGAAAGCAGCCAAAGGCCATTACATTTAATTGGACAATTAGGTATGTTGTTAAAGGACCCATAACTGTCCTTTTAATGAAAGGCTGTTACTGTTATATCAGAGGTAACTGAGTGCTCAACTTCCAAAACGTGTCACCATTTTTGTGTTGGGTTTATTTTCCCTAAAATCCATGGGTTTTCTGGCACATCTATGGAGGGAATTCTCAAATAAAGATTTTTTTTTTTTTTTTTTTTTTTTTTTTTTAACCTTGAAACAACCCCCTTGGAGATGTTTTTTTTTTTTTTTTGCCCCCGTTTATCATTGATGCTGGCCTTAACTAATACCAGAGAGGTCTCCAGTATTGGTGGGCTGTTAGAGGACTCCTAGACAAAACGTAACTGTTTCTCCTTTTTTCTTACAACCAATACATTATTTATTACTTTTTTGAGACTTTGTCTGCTTTACATTCAGATGGGTCCCATAGAGGTTATTTTTTTAAATAAAATAAAAAAAAAATCAATAGAAAGTAGCTTATCTGAGTTCATTACTGACTCGTAACGAATGAATTCTTTGTCACATAGAACCAGGTAGTGTCAGGAATCCAGTTTGTGTGGTCTGTTTTTGTGTTTCCTTTCCTCCTCCACCAGGTGGTGCCCCATCCTCATTGGGCCTCCCTGCACACCTGCAGCCCGTTGCCTCATTACCTGAGGACTCTTAAGCTGCTGACTGCCTCTACCTCAACGCCAGAGTGCTTGCCAGTTTGGGATACTCTAGCAATGCTTAGTTTAGCAGAGTCCTTGCTGTTTTTGTCTTTGCCTCTCGGCAGGAAGCCATCCTGCAAACTGGATGTTTTGGACCTT